AAACTGCTTCACGGCATTTTCCTTCTTCTTTTCCCTCCACTCACACTCCCAGATGCTGACAACCTTGAAACCCATCCTTTCCAATTTCCTCTCTCTCTCTCTTCAGTCCTCAGAAATAAAGTTTCCATGGAAAGCTGCTTGATGGGGCGAATGACTTCACCGTCTGGATGGTTCAGCGCGTGCCTAATTTTGATACGCTGGTCGTGTGCGATGAAGTCTAGCCATTCGATGCTGGCCTTGGAGATTGATTCTAGGTGATAACCGTGGGAAGGAACCATGGCTATCGTATCAGGCTTGATGAAATGATGATTAAAAATGGCGTGGCAGATCGATGCTATCGTCACATATTGGAAAGGGTCGCAACCAGCCACCTGAAGCAGCAGGTCTCGGAACTTGAGGCATGCCCTCCTCAAAATGTCAACATCTGAAAGGTGAAGATGTAACCCTCATTTTTCTTCTCTTGATGCCACTCCAAACATTTTTTTCTCTCATGGGATGACATAGAATCACATCCACAGGCTTCAGGAGGTGGAATGAGGAAAATATCCCTTACACATGGTTTCCAAGGCGAAAGTAGACGGGAGTTTCGATAATGACACGGGGAGGAAATTGTAGGAATCAATAATCCTGATTTTGTAAGAAGGTACCTCAAGGGACATGATTTTGGCGCCGTTCATTATTACTTTGGGGGTCAGTCCATACTTCGGAAGGTATGAGAGAATAAAATATCCATCGTAGGATTTCATGCAGTGGGCAATTGCTGTAAATCCCTTTATGTCTGCAAGGGTTGTAAAAAACCGGTTGATTCCAGTCATCTCTGCCATCGTGCAAGGAAGGATATGAAGCATCCTTCAGGAAAGTGCATATTTCTCGATTTTGGCGCCGTTCATTATTACTTTGGGGGTCAGTCCATACTTCAGAAGGTATGAGAGAATAAAATATCCATCGTAGGATTTCATGCACTGGGCAATTGCTGTAAATCCCTTGTGTCTCCTTTGAAAGAGACACTCCCCGAATTTCTTTTCGGTGTCATAACCGGAAAATATTACTTCCTTGCCATCGGCGTACTGTGCAATACAGTAATTTGCAATATGTATCCCACCCTCCGACTGAACGGCTTCAAAATCGAGAAATATGCACTTTCCTGAAGGATGCTTCATATCCTTCCTTGCACGATGGCAGAGATGACTGGAATCAACCGGTTTTTTACAACCCTTGCAGACATGGTCACCACATCGATGTTTATCCTGAGGGATTTGTTTGGTCTCGAAAATTTGATGACGATCACCGCAGTACCAACTCCTGTTGCATGTTGCTGCATGTTCCTGCGTGCAAACCGTATTTCTACAAAATTTCCTNCCTGTTGCATGTTGCTGCATGTTCCTGCGTGCAAACCGTATTTCTACAAAATTTCCTGCAGAGAGGGCAAAAGGAAGGGGATTCATCTTTCCGGCATTCATCCCTCCCGCATGTGCTGCAGTGCTGTTCGCAGTGATGCTCCCACCTTTTCTCATATCCTTTATCACAATTATGACAATAAAATTTACTACCGGTGAACCCTGCCATTGATGTAATAACATCATAATGATGCTCACCATCCTCTCCCTCTCGTCTCCAGAGATAAATCTTTATCTCTCTCTGGGGACCGCGATAAGAAATCTTGTTCCCGTCATGGATGTTGATAATATTTGTTTGGATTCTTAAACGGTCCTCAAACTGCCGAGCCTCCATGATTCCGCATTTTCCGAGGCGTACGCCTGCGTCCTCGTGAAGATCTTGAGCTAGTTTCTTCTGCATAGGGCGTCGCGAGTCACAAATATATTTGGTTTGAGGATTATTAGTGATTTTAGTATGCGCTACAACGATACAGATACATACAGATTTCGTCCTCGTTTTTTATTTGGATGATTGATATTTTTAGCTTGATGTCTTCATCCGGATTGATTATCCGAAATCCTGTGCCTCCTTGAGGATCGCGAACTAGCAAAAAATCCAAAGTGAATGATCCATCCAACTTCATTTCTTTCTTGGACTGGATGTGCTTTGTGATCGTGGTCAGGATCAGTTCAGGACTCATATCCTGAACCCTGACTACTTGGGTGGATATGGCATGATCCATTCCGTCAGAGATTATTACTGCTCTGATAAAGTCACTAGGTTGGACACGGTCAGTAACCTCTCTTAGAATTTCTCCGATTGAGAGGTAGAGGGATGCCATGATAGATAAGATGGGTGATCCTGAGAATTCGCTTTCTTCGAAGAGAGCTCGAAACACTCTCTGGAGTGCGTTAAATCGTTTGAAATTGTTATTTCCAATTTCTTCGATGGTGAATTCGATGATCGGGACCCGATCATCGTCAATATTATGCTCATCGTCACTCTCGCGTCTTCTTCTCTGTCCTCCCCCTTCATGTTTTCCGGATCACGGAAGAGTTGAGGGTCCTCCTCACATATGTGAATAGCCCCCCACTCCACCTCATCAAATATATCCAGATCCTGACTGAAAACTCGGGCAGGAATTCGTCCGACATGGTGAACTAAATTTCCAAAGAAAGAACCGAGCCGAGCTGAAAATTATTTCTTACGCAAAGGAACCGACACGACATATGCAGTTGAAACCGAAAGCCGCGAGTACAATAGCTAGCGAGAATTTTAATTGAATACCAAAGTTCCGTTATTTTTTTCCTCTGGAAATTATTAGCTGACTAACGCCTGACAACGCTTGAAGAGTTCATATGAGGTGTAAAAAGAAGGGGAAAAAAAGAAAAAAAAAATCACATTTACGATGTCGAAATGGTTTGAAGAACCAAACTGAAAGCACACTCGTTGGATGTAAGAGCACCGATGAATGTCAGATTCAACTTAAGACTGTCTCAGCAGACCAATGCATTTTAAACATGAGGACGTGTTTTTTGTTCTCGCTGTTTTCCGTTTTATGGCACCTGTTCATCCTTAAAACACGATTCCTTTATTGTCTCCTCTCAAAATACATATACAATAATATGTTTTCCTCTTTCTTTTGAGGTTCAATCATGGTAAAAATCTTTATTTTTCAATTTTTATTGCATTGAAAAATATTTTTGAAGAATGGGATATCAGCTGCTATGGAAGATTCCAGCAAAACAGGCTGTTATTGTTTTTCCCAAAAAGAGGACAATAGTGGTTATTTGCGAGAGGGATGTGTGAGAAATTGTCTCGGAAGGGGAGGGAAATTCAGGGAGTTCACGTCCCTCTCGCTTCAGTTCAGAGTCGGACGCCACACGTTGGAGAGCAAGCATCTGTGACTACCACCATGACCACGAGTGAATCCACTTCCATCTTTTTTCCATCTCGCCCGCTGTAAGTAACTGACTTTTTTCATCTCTTTCCTGCCAGACGTTCATATGTGCTCCAACTAAAATCCTAATGTTGTCCTCAGATCTCGGACACTGACAGTCACGGACGATAAGGTTTTACGGAGAAGTGTAGAGTACGACGGGGAAATCAACATCTATTTCGGAAGCCGCACTCAACCCCACAAAGGTGTTTTCATGCTTCAAGGGACATGGGAGGAAATTGAAGAAATTATCAAGTCTCTTGGTTCTGTGAGACTGACTGATCCGTGCAGATTGGAGGGGACAGACATTTACTTGCAAGAGAAGGACTACCAGAATCAAATGGTGTTGGACATTAGAAAACGGAGGCATGGAAAAGACGCCAATTATCATATCCTCCATCACACTCATCAGGGTGTGACGCTCCAGATGTCGACAATTCGAAGGAATCTCATATGAATCAACCGGTNTTTTTACAACCCTTGCAGACATGGTCACCATATCGATGTTTATCCTGAGGGATTTGTTTGGTCTCGAAAATTCGATGACAGTCACCGCAGTACCAACTCCTGTTGCATATTGCTGCATGTTCCTGTGAGGAAACCGTATTTCTACAACATTTTCTGCAGAAAGGGCAAAAGGAAGCGGATTCATCTTTCCGGCATTCATCTCTCCCGCATGTGCTGCAGTGCTGTTCGCAGTGATGCTCCCACCTTTTCTCATATCCTTTATCACAATTGTGACAATAAAATTTACTACCGGTGAACCCTGCCATTGAGGTGATAAGGTCATCATGATGCTCACCATCGTCGCCCTCTCGTCTCCAGAGATAAATATTTATCTCTCTCTGGGGACCGCGATAAGAAATCTTGTTCCCGTCATGGAGGTTGATGATATTTATTTGGATTCCTAAATGGTCCTGAAATTGCCGAGCCTCCATGTCTCGAAAATTCGATGACAGTCACCGCAGTACCAACTCCTGTTGCATGTTGCTGCATGTTCCTGCGTGCAAACCGTATTTCTACAAAATTTCCTGCAGAGAGGGCAAAAGGAAGCGGATTCATCTTTCCGGCATTCATCCCTCCCGCATGTGCTGCAGTGCTGTACGCAGTGATGCTCTCACCTATTCTCATATCCTTTATCACAATTTTGACGATAAAATTTACTATCGGTGAACCCTGCCATCGAGGTGATAACATCATAATGATGCTCGCCATCCTCGCCCTCTCGTCTCCAGAGATAAATCTTTATCTCTCTCTCGGGACCGCGATAAGAAATCTTGTTCCCGTCATGGAGGTTCATGATATTTATTTGGATTCTTAAATGGTCCTCAAACTGCCGAGCCTCCATGATTCCGCATTTTCCGAGGGGTACGCCTGCGTCCTCGTGAAGATCTTGAGCTAATTTCTTCTGCATAGGGCGTCGCGAGTCACAAATATATTTGGTTTGAGGGTTATTAGTGACTTTAGCATGCGCTACAACGATAGCCCTGGCCATACAGATTTCGTCGTCATTTTTTATTTGGATGATTGATTTTTTTAGCTTCATGTCTTCATCTGGATTGATTATCCGAAATCCTGTGCCTCCTTGAGGATCGCGAACTAGCAAAAAATCCAGAGTGAATGATCCATCCAACTTCATTTCTTTGTTGGACTGGATATGCTTTGTGATCGTGGTCAGGATAAGTTCAGGACTCATATCCTGAACCCTGACTACTTGGGTGGATATGGCATGATCCATTCCGTCAGAGATTATTACTGCTCTGATAAAGTCTCTAGGTTGGACACGGTCAGTAACCTCTCTCAGAATTTCTCCGATTGAGAGGTAGAAGGATGCCATGATAGATGAGATGGGTGATCCTGAGAATTCGCTTTCTTCGAAGCGAGCTCGAAACACTCTCTGGAGTGCATTAAATCGTTTGAAATTGTTATTTCCAATTTCTTCGATGGTGAATTCGATGATTGGGACCCGATCATTATGGGTGATCCTGAGAATTCGCTTTCTTCGAAGCGAGCTCGAAACACTCTCTGGAGTGCATTAAATCGTTTGAAATTGTTATTTCCAATTTCTTCGATGGTGAATTCGATGATCGGGACCCGATCATCGTCAATATTATGCTCATCGTCACTCTCGCGTCGTCTTCTCTGTCCTCGCCCTTCCATGTTTTCCAGATCACGGAAGAGTTGAGGGTCCTCCTCACATATGTGAATAGCCCCCCACTCCATATGGGTGATCCTGAGAATTCGCTTTCTTCGAAGCGAGCTCGAAACACTCTCTGGAGTGCATTAAATCGTTTGAAATTGTTATTTCCAATTTCTTCGATGGTGAATTCGATGATAGGGACCCGATCATTGTCAATATTATGCCCATCGTCAATCTCGCGTCGTCTTCTCTCTCCTCGCCCTTCCATGTTTTCCAGATCACGGAAGAGTTGAGGGTGCTCCTCACATATGTGAATAGCCCCCCACTCCACCTCATTAAAGATATCCAGATCCTGACTGGAAATCTCGGGCAGGAATTCGTCCGACATGGTGAACTAAATTTTAAAAGAAAGAACCGAGCCGAACTGAAAATTATTTCGTACACAAAGGAACTGACACGACATACAGTATGCAATATGAAACCGAAAGCCGCGAGTACAATAGCTAGCGAGAAATTTAAGTGAATACCAAAGTTCTGTTATTTTTTTCACCTCTGGGAATTATTATCTGAATAACGCCTGACAACGCTTGAAGAGTTCATATAAGATGTAAAAAGAAGAGAAAAAATGCAAGCAAAAAAACTCACATTTACGACGTCGAAATGGTTTGAAGAACCAAACTGGAAGCACACTCGGATGTAAGAGCACCGATGAATGTGAGATTCAACTTAAGACTGTCTCAGCATAGCAATACATTTTTATACTTGAGGACATGTTTTTTGTTTTCACTGTTTTCCGTTTTTATTATGTTTAAACACAATTCCTTCATTGTCTCCCCTCAAATGCAAATACAATAAGATAAACTGTTTTCCTCTTTCTTTTGATGTTCAACCATTCTAAAAATCTGCACATTTCAGCCATTATTTTTCCGTTTTACGGCGCCTGCTCATCCTTGAAACACGATTCCTTTATTGTCTTCTCCAAAAATACAGATACAATAAGATGCTTTTCTCTCTCTTTTGAGGTTAAATCATGGTAAAAATCTGTCTTTTCCAATTTTTAATCTCTTTATTTGCTTTGAAAAATATTTTTGAAGAACGGATATTAACTGCCATGGAAGATTTCATCAAATCAGGCAGCCTGATTTATCTGCTATTCCTGATCTATGTATATGGCGGAAAGTTTGGCATTCTCAGGAGGACTGCTTCTCCTTTATTCGTTTCCAAATAGACATTACACCTGATGTAGCATGCATGAAGGGTAAGGGAAAGAGTGGGGTTTCGTTGAGGTAGCCCAAATAGTGGGGAGTTATGGTATCAACGAATGTGTCCCTAAATAGGGTTCGAAATAGGCTATTCGAAATTTGTTTTATATTTTTTGTGCGTTGCTAATCTCTTAAGGCGGTATGCCATTATTACCTGTTTTGTCCTAAGTATTGTGTTTCAAAATTTCTATTGCATTTGAGTCGAATATAAATTCGAAACTAGAAATAGGAGTATAATCCCCAAAATGAAAAGTACATTTCTTCCACAAGGAGAAATTGTTACTTTAACAAAAGTATTTTTTGACTGTCGTGATGAACTTCTGTTCGAGAAATTCAACACTAAAGGGGCTAAAGTGATTATGCTATCATAAAAAGAATAAGAAGTGCTTAGGTCAGTAGGTCAGCCAAGATTTAGGAAATTCTTTGATGTTGTAATATTCCACGAGGAGAGAGAACTGTAAATCACAGCTTAAAAGTTTTTACAATCGGACGAATAAGTAACCTATTTTGGATAGCTTTTTTGGTTTTGACACGTAGCTTTTGGTATTCCTGACAATTGAGAACAACTCTGTCGGTGAGACAGCCAACCTGCCCTACAGCGCCACTGTTTCACTACCAGGCTGTTACCGTCTCCATGAACGAGATGGTTTGAGGATATTTTCCTCATCTTGTGCAGTTCACGACTGTCGGAGACAATATGCCGCAACTTGGATTTGAAAATTAACGTTCATATGGAGATATTATTATCGCTTTTAAGTCCGAAACGGGTACATGTGGGTTTCCCAGGTGTGAAAAAGACCATATCCATTCATTTTGAATAGAAATAAAATATGTTCGCATCTGCTCCTTCTTTTGCTTCGATACCTTTTAACAAACGTATATTATGATATACGTTTAATAACTCAAAACGTATAACGTATGTACTATTTTGTACTGTACTGGTCACTGTAAGTTTCTGCTTTGATGCGAATTAAGCAAATTTCCCACAGTCAAAACAGGAGAGAACGTGGGATTTCTATACCTATATTTGCAGAATGGTATGGATACTCTCCCACTAAACAAATAGTCCCCACCGGAAGAAAGCAGTGATAACAATATAATATACTCATAGAAATTACCGACAATAAATAGAATTGCTCGCACAAGAACGACATCAATATCACCACAGTTCCGTATCTCAAAAGGCTACAATAAAGTTATCAATAATTTATAGGCTGAGCCAAAATACAAGGCTATCATTTTTGAGTTGTCACTCCGATTGTAGACTGCTGATTTCGATTAAATTTGGTAGGTACATAGCATAACTCAATTGGAGTTCGTGCGTCAAATTTCGAACAATTTCAAAAATATGAGAAAGGTATTTAATTCACTTTTAATCAACAGAAAAGTAAGTGATCAATTTTAATTTAAACTTAAAATTTCTAAAAATTGAGAAAACAAAGGAGCAAGCAAACAGAATATAAACAAAATTCACATATGCCAAAAACGAAATCACACAACTTGATTTAGGTAGGTTCATATCAACTGAAAAAGTGTTCCTTTATTCCCTCCTCCATTCCGTTGAACACTAGCCACTAGTCAGGGACGCCTCAGATCAATGGCTTGATCAATCAGAATTTGAGGCAGTGCTCCCGAAACTTCCTCTATAGCACCATGCAGGGATGGAAAAAAAATGTCATGAATTCACCCTCCCATTCATCCCGACCTGAGGTCGGATGAAAGGGAGGGTGAATTTATTTCATCGCTATTTTCGATAGCAAATTTTGACGTGGGTCATCAGAAATAATTTCAGCATCTATAATTTCAGAGACAGAAGGCTGAAATTTGGCATAAAAACTCCAATTGAAGCACCCTATGATATTACCCAATTTAATCAGAAGCAACAGATTATAATGAGATTGACGATTCACCAAAAATGTTTTTTTTTTCCATCTTTTATATTGTCCAGTTGTAGTATCTACGATACTTGGACGGTGGAAAAAAAGACCAAATTATCCCTATACATGTCTCGATATGAGGCGAGTTTCAGGCACATATGGAAACGTCACAGTAGTCCCGCCCCACCTCTGAAGATTTGTAGCACCAAACCTCCTCATCTCCATTCGGGTTGCGAAAATAGTTGTGGTTTTCGTGCAAGTCGTCCGGAAATTCGCTCGGTTTCGTGTACGGCAGACTGCCCCCTCCACCTACAAGCACGTACTTAGAATAATATATATCCCTATCCAAAAGAGAGGCTGAAAAATTTTCAATTGAGATTCATACTATTATCGTGGAATAAACTTTTTTCTGTTCGTTTGATACATTACTCGTGGCATGAAATAAATAAAGATTCCACAATATAGACAGAGGATGCTTAAAGTGAAAGGATTTTTGATGCTGATTTCAATGAATAATCATTCTTTATGTCCATCCCTTCAGTATTGAATTGCTTGGGGCAGGAGGTTTTCATTTAAGCATTTTCGACCCGACAAGTTGACAAAATTAGAAAAGCAAAATTCCTAAGGCAAACAGTTCTATTGGTCTCTTCATTTTGAAAGCTAAGAATTCTCATACCAAGACTTTCAATCTTCCATGCGAACAACAACATTGCTATTACAGGAATTACTTAAAGTCCTGGCCCACATTTTCTTAACTAAAAAAATTTCGTAATGACAAAATTTTTAATAATGCCGATTTTGCTTAGTTAAACATTTTGTTCTTTCAATAATATGTTTCGGCGAAAAAAGTTGGTCCTTTACTTGGTCATTCCAAGCCAAATCGAGCAGCCAGCGAGCAAGACCATCTCCGATTCTCACGAAAATCGGTATTCTCGCAGGGGAATCGATTTTAAGAAAACAATGTAACATTTGTTTAATGTATCCCATAGATATACAAATATTTGCATTTTAATGTGGCATACATTTCGCTTCCAAAGCCCATACGGACTGGAATTGTGAAAGTGTATCTGCAAGAATTTACCCTCTAATCTAATCTAAATATTCTAATACTAAACTAGTTGTGGTCGCGACTTCGGCGCACCATTGTGCAGGATAATAATCCATTCATTCATTTATTTTCGAAGTGGCAAAAAAGTTTTAAAATTATGTACCTGTGAAAATGTTCGCCATGAGAGGACGAACCGATATTTTCATCGAAATAATTACTCCAATTATTACTTGCGTGCCTAACTTCAAATCTCTATTTAACGCGCCCTAAGGAGACGTATTTGAATAGTAGGATCTGCGTTCAGCAATCGAATAAATACTTCTGCTCCGAGTTTAGCCTTTTTTTTCGATCTCTCTCTCCCCCTCTCTCATTCGATAAAATGATTTGGGAAAACGCGCATTTTTCCTTTACCTTTTCTAGCCTTACCTAAAGAGAAATATTTTTACTGAAATCAGTTCTTGGAGAACTATGTGCCCATCCAGTTTCAGCCTTATCCGTTTTCCCTTTTAGCTGGTGCATAAATATACTTCGAAAAGCCCACTCGACCAACTCAAAAGCACTGCCCTGAGGATATCCACCACAAAGTTGCATTTTTCTGCACCCCACATCACTTCAGCCAAGTTTCACCTTTCTATCTCTGCTTAATACAGTATGACAAAAAAAACTTATTCGGAAACCTAACCCCCCAAAAAATAAGTCCTGCAGGGAATGTATCGAAACGTGAAAATTATCATGGAATTCTTGTCTCAGTAATCTCTTTCAAAGTTTCAGCTTTTCATGTTTATCCGTTTGACTGAATCAAGAAATATATATATTTGAAAACAGCTCCACCTTAATTTGTGCCACCAGCGCATTTACCTCCAAAATCTGAATTTTCTGGAGTCAGCATCTCAATACGTACTTACGTATCAAGTTTCATATTTCTTTCTATTTCTGCCCTATGCACAAGGAAAAATACTTTTTTTTTACTGAAAACGTCACCTCAAAAAAATATGGCCACAGGGCATGCATCTGAAACTTGACATTTTTTCTGAACTCAGTGTCTCAGTCAGCACGTCCATGCCAGGTTTTAGCTTTTAATGTGTATCCGTTTGACCGAAGGAAAAAAAATTTGAAAACATATCCCCCTAAATGTGGTGCTCCTAAGGTCATTTAACTCCAAATTCTGAGTTTTTCTAGACTCGGTAAACCAATATTTACATACTTGCCAAATTTCATCCTTCCAGCATATCTAGAACATGGGTAAGATTAGCGTCAGTCAGTCACGATCGTCTACATTTATTAGACAAACGTGTGCCTCCGAAACCCGGCCCATGTTTCTTACATCATGTCTTTTTTTCTAATGGAGGTGAGTATTGTATCATTCGAAAGCCTAGACCTGTTTCAACAATTGCTGTGTAACCTCATGGTTTGTCATTACTGATTGTGGTAATTTTATGGAGATGGTGTATTATCCAAAACCCCGTAATATCCTTGACCTCATCAACGCCATTTCCACCAAACTGAATGCAATAGGCTTGAACCTGTATCAGAAAGCATTGGATGACTTTCCCCGTGTGTCATGCTGAGATTGGGAAATTATTGGAATGTCAAAAATATTGAATCCCTGCTTCCTTATTCTGCTAAATGCTAGGTGCGATACCTTGAAACAAAAAAGTTTATTCCTCCTTTCACTTGTCCCCGTTCAAACTTGGGGCGGGGTCTCTGGGGCACCCTGTATATAGACGATCGTAACTGATTGAGTGGCTGACTGGCGCTAATTCTAACCATGGTCTACTGTAGATGAGGAGGTAGCAAGAAACTTGGTACGTAAGTACTTACCCCTGTAGCACATAACATTGAAAAAAATATGGATTCAATGGTGTTCTACTAAGGTAAGTCCAGAAAAAATTCCGAAATTTGGAAGTAAATGCTCTTGGGGGCACACCTTTTGCCGGGAATGTTTTAAATACTTTATGCATTTTTACTTTAATCAAATAGAGAGATATGGAAAGCTGAAATTTGGCATGAACGTGAACAATGCCACACTGCGTTCATGGAAAATGTCAAGATTCCCACACATCCTCTGGGGGAATATTTTTTGGGGGTAACGTTTCCAAATATTTTATTTCCTTATTCTTAAAAGAGATAATTCATTTTAAATTGCTGACGTCAAAACCGCAGGGATCGAGCTAAATCGCGTGCAAGATGACACTTCTTGAAATATGAGGAATTTTCCACTTAGGAATATGTGAGCAGTGGTGGCACACATTTGAGATAAATAAATTCATTCAATTTCATTGTCGAACGCTGACGGTACGAGTATTCAGTTTTCTTGCTCTTCTGGGAGCAGAATATCGTGTCAGACTGGTGTCAACACATTATGAAACGGGGAAATCTGTTATGTCGGATGCAGTTCGACACATGAGCACAAAGGGGCAAAAAATCATCCACCCCCCCCTTGTTGATCATGTTGTCCACAAATGAATAAAACCTCCATTACACTCTTAGCCGGGTCTACCTTGCTACGGATCCTTGTTGACTGACTGCACCAAGGTTGTATTAATGTAATAAATAAGTCCTTCCCTAATTTCTATATTTAATGAATGCTGTGGGCGTTTTATTTCGTTAGATTCACTGCAACCATTTCAATGCTCTCATGAATCTGGTGTAGGAACGCAATTATTTCTTCTTCGAACAACGGTTTAATATGGAATAATTACTTTAATCTGGGAAATATTGATTTTCTGCCAATGTGTTATTGGTCTCCATATTGTTCGGATTAGGCTACACTTCAACATAAGAACCTCCACATTATTTATTTACCATTCTTTGGAAATAAAAGCAAGCAACTATATGGTAGTTTCCTGGTTTGGAGCTGACCAGACCGCATTTCGAAGCTGGAGTGTATGAGGATAATGAATATGAGCGCATAAGAGAGATCTCCATCTAGGAGAATGAGGCGTCTACCACTCATGTCTGCCAGAATAGTAGTAGTCCGAGTCGTCGTAGTTGATGGCGTTTAGTTGGTTGTTTGGGAAATTGCTCAACCACCGCTGGCACTGGAATCCATTCCGGGTCACGTTTTTTGTTCCAATGTATTTCTCCCATTTCTTGTCAACTTTGCATTCTTGTGGGCCTATGAAGCATGAGGTGTGTGGGCTTAGCGGCGGACCTCACCGAGGAGTGGAGGAGGAGCCACCCCCTACCGGACACCTCCCACCTCCAAGAGACCTCCCACGGACCGGGACAAGGGGGTGGAGGCGAGACTTAGAGAGTGGACAGTGACTGTGTGGATGTGATCGTGTGACATTGTACAACGGTGTGTATTGTATTTTGTTGCTGACCAGCCTAGTCCTTCCGAATCTCACCGGTACTCATCTAATTGGAGTCAGTACATATAGTAGGGCCCTTTTTCGTACACGGAGAACACGTAATACCATTCGGCGGCCGCGCCCACAGGTGTAATAACGCCTTAGAGTATTCCTTAGAGGAGATGACAACTTTCGAGAGCAGTTCTTTATTCCTTTGATCGATGGGCTATTGTGATCCTAGTGACCCAAGTCCGATGGCATTTGGTCGCTAAGGTCATTTTTCAGCAAAAATACGGATTCCTTGTTTTTAGGAGTAACCAATCTTCTTTGCGTTCGCTGGTACGTTCGTCTTTCATAGAACTTTTCCTTTTGCGATGTTAGAGGCCAAAGGTTAGCATTTACTGAAGCACTCTCCTGGTCAAGGAATTCCTCTAATGTCAATTGGATCCGAACACTACTGAAATCAGTGGAAAACTTTCAATTTCAGAACTTTCCGATAGAGGTATCGTCGCAAGAAGCAAAGCGGCTTAGCAACGATAACATCATTACGATAACGCAATAATGTCGAGCGAGATGGCTTGCAATTATTCTTTGCTCAAGTCGCCTGAACCAGTTACCTTTTCACGTTTTCACCCTACGTAGAATACCATTCCGATTATATTAGATTCTGGAACCTCTTGTGCGAAACGGGAAAGAGATCTTCTGCAATCACTGTCGAAGGAATTCCTCTTTAACGACGGCGAAAATTGGGGCAGAAATATTCAAAAGCAAATACAGGTATATTAAGAAACAGGACTCACTGACGCAGAGTCCATCCACTCGAATGTCGCATTGTTTCCCATCAGCAGGCGGGCAGAAGGGAACTTCGCAATACTCCCATTCAGGCCCGTCGTCTGAATCGATGTAACACAATGGGCCATGTAATGTTGTGGTTGGATTTCGACAAAACCGATGATTTCCAAATAATTCGTCTGAAAGTCTCAATCCGAACTGTTCGCAAAGGCCGGGTTTGTTTGCACACGTCTCCAACCAAGGTTTGCAGGGGTACCCAGTTATTGTCACGTTCATCTTCCCCAAATATTCGACCCCAGATGGACTCAACTTGCATTCCGGCGGATCTGTAAAACAAAGAAATAAAAGAATCAGAGTGGAACACAACATCCATTGGCCGGACGCGTGACAGGACGGACTTGGATCGTCGCAAACGGGAATATCACAGTACTCCCACATCGTTTCGTGATCGGGTATCAAACACCATGGCCTCTCCAATTGCCCAGTGTTCCGGCAGTAATTCTCTGGAGATATCGCTCTGGTGAGGAGATGGAATGAAACAAAATAGGGGTAGGTCAATTCGTGAAGCAAGTCATCCCATTGTCGGCAGGGTTTTCCATTCTTCGTCTCGTTCTTGGTTCCTACGTATTCAATCCCCTTTTCCGACACTCGACATTCAGGATACACGTGACCCTGGACTCCGTCATCAACTTGACGCTCGCAGAAGTTCACGTCGCAGTATTCCCAAGCTGGGGGACTCATATCATTGATATAACACCATGGAGCAACCCGTTTCACCAGCCGAGCCTATGAGCATGAAGTTCAGTTCTCCTGGATTAAGTTTTTTTTTTCTGAAAATAGAATTTACGGAGGAAAAATGAGTTGCATTTAAACGGAGTAACTTTCGAGGAGTATATCACCCGAAGTTTTGATAGATGTTGTTCTACTGTAGAGCGTCCAATGTCAAGATTGTTCAATTTATAACATTAAATACGACAAATCTAGTAAAAGATTGTGGAATCTGCTGAAAATATAGTATGATTCTACTGCTAGCCATGTGTCAACGAACCTATTAGTCATCTTACATCATTGCAATCTAACCAAAAGCTAGTGCTGCCAAAGTTGCCCGTTGATGGTGGAAGATCCCCGTTCGAACTGCATGTAATAACATGGCCCGGATTCAAGAACGAGACACCGTGAAGCAGCGTATGATAATGTCCCAGGACAGTACTGTGCTCAGTCAGTGGATTCGAATAAACAGCAGTCAAAGGTGGAATAAATTGTCTGGACATTTTTACTAGAGGCCAGTATCCATATGGACTGTGCAGCGCAATCTTGCTCAAATCCGTTATGAGAACGTTTTACCCGGAGTGACGGTGATGCTGACCCAGAAGAGAGAGACCTAAAAGACCAGCCGACCTAGAAGAGGGGCGAATGCAATGGGCTCGATCATGAAGAAGACCATTGGCGGATTCGGGGTATGTGTGATTACAGAGAAATCAAATGTTCATTTTTGAATGAAGGGCAAAACTTATCGATAACAGAAAACGTGATGTTCTTCTGTGTACACCAACGTTAGATTGTTTGATTCAAATGTTGGCATTCAAATGTTGGCATTTTCAGAGGCGAGATGCGAAAATGGCGAGAAGTATGAGGTCTTTTTTTTAATTAAGCGTTTAGAATCTCCGGTACTCTTTCATCTAAAGAACGATGAGGGATCTCAACCAGGCATTTATGGTCATCAGGAGAGCTCATAGTGAGAAGAGTGGTAAATTTCTCCAAATCGATGGAAGGAGCAAATCAAGAGGAAATCGACTTAAGTTGAATGAAGCCCATTCAAGACTCAAGTTGCAGAATGACTTACTTGCATTGTGGTAAAAGTGTATCATTTATCTTGTAATGAGGTAGCGTCTGTCTCTACAGTGACTGGTTGGACTGGAGTTGGCTACATTCCGCGAGGACGAAACGCAAATGTAGTAGCGCAGCTGGAAGCCATTGGACAGCGTGTGGTTACGCGGCCAAAAATTATTTTTAAGGGGTGTGTGCTTGCTTCATGATACATCAACGCTCGGCCTACACGCAGGGCATCCTTATGGATAGGAGGATCTCTTAGCGCCTCCTCCTGTATGTTGAACCTATAAATGTGGATCATGGATATGAAAACCGCCTCCTGTCAGATGTGAGGTTTAGTTTATACATGTATTTGAAAAGATGCTCCTCAGATGTTTCGAATGAATATGACATCGCATTCATGTTCGAGTGACACCTACATCGGGTAAATCGCTAACCTCAGACAGTCTGAAGTTGCGACAAAAGTTGTGATGGGCGTCAACGTCATCGGAATCTGGGACCGAAGATAGATCCACTATCTCTTCGAACTTTTCCCAAGGGAGGCATGGTTGGCCAGTGATGGTCGTATTCTTCATCCCATTGTATTCGCCGCCCAGTTCGGTCAACTTGCACTCAGGGGGGGATGCCAGTAATATTGTGAAGATTCTCATTTCATATGGTTTTCAAGCAATTCAGCTCCAAATGAGTCACAGCCCTTCAAGAAAAATTACCGTTAGCGCGGATTTGCCGCATTAAAAATACATAGCAAATATGTTTTTCGATTATATAAAATTTTCCGCAGTTTAATGTCCATGTTTGGGCCCTTGCTAGTTTTGCATTAGCGCTTTGATATTTCGTTTCGATGTGCTAAGAACGATTGAATTGTCCATTCAGTTTACTAATATTATATATTAATCGCTCTCTGAGTATGGCAACTTCGCTTTCAAGCTCCATTACAAACTTTAATAACAAAATCTTAAAAGTAAATTTCATTACCAATGTCAGTGCACATGGGAACGGAGCAATATTCCCATTCGACGACAGGGTCCGAGACAAAGCACCAAGGTCTCTCCTTCCCGAACGGATTGCGACAGTAGCTGTGATGAATCACCGAGTTCCAATTAAGGAATGCATCTTCGTACGTATGGTCAAGTCTCGGGATTCCTTGCGTTTCGGTTTGCCACGGGTCATCCTTCCATGTGTAATTCTTGGGAGTCATTTGAAAATCAACGCCAATAAATTTTCAGTTTTAGATAGTTTGAATCTTGGAACCAAAGTATCTTAAGAATGAGGATAATTATTCTTTTTTCTTTGCACAGATCTTTCCAAACTACTGTGAAAAATGACAGCTAAATTATGCGCGAATGTCTTGATTCTCCTTTGACCAAGAACGATTTGACTGAGACCACGTCGAAGCAGTCGACCGCGTTTCTCCTGCATGCCTCCTTCCCCGCCAACGACCTCGAGCTACTTACTTTCCTCTAGGGTGTGATGGAATGACCCACGATTCAGGTGACACCTAAATCACCTTTCGTGGTGAACCGGTTACCGAATAGTGGGACTAATTCCTGTTATTGTGCCTAAAATGGCCAGCAGACGACAATGGTCAATGAA